CCAATGGCGGGACAGGGTGTTTGACTCTACCTAAAATGGGTTGGAGCCAATCGAGGTCAAATCACTTCGCTGGATGAACTACAGTATCCTCAATTTATGTCCTTCCAACTTTTTTTTTACACTTTTTTTGCCGGGACACGAAAAGAAAAAAAAATGGTCGGTTGCATTGTCCGCAAAACCCGCGGACGGGTAAATAGGTCGAGGCTAGCATTCAGTTATCTCCTTCATCAAGGAGGCTATTCTCTCGTCAAGGCTTCGTTGGATTGACTTGCCTTGTCAATCTGTCCCCTCTGCCTATGTATCGATCATGGCGATACCAACAGAGAGATGCGACAGGCGACCCGCACTGTTATCACCTCGGCAAACACGTTCTTGAGAACTGATCCCTGTACGTGCCCTCATCTCAAAATTTGAAAGAAGAAAAAAAAATCATGTCGACTTGCTTCACTTTCACCCAAAAACCGTAAATTGTGGATCCCTCGACTTCTTTTGAAAATTGTAATCTCAAAGAGCATGCTATCTGTCTTTCGTTTCGTGTAAAACACGCTCTCACTCTGAACACTGAACATGATTAGCGTCATGAGAAAAACGTCGCGAGATAAAATGCCACGAATTTGAAATAAATAAACGGGGAATGTATATGTTGGAGACTAAAAAATGTATTCCGCGAGGAATTCACAAAAGACAAGTATGAGTTACCGTTTATGATCTAAATATGGATGAATTACTCACTGATGCTGGCCTTTGAAAAGTAATGTACCAGCGGTTTCAGATGCAATGCAGCCAAAAAAAGCCGATTATCTAATTCTTGCCAGTCTCAATAATTAAAACTTATGATAAATCCTTCTTCTTCATTGAAAACATGATGAATATCAGCTATTCGCTGAGTAGAGTTTATATTCGAAGGAGAGTTTCCAAAATAGTGCAGAGACTTCTTCAGATCCAGTCACAACTTCAAAGATACCATAAGATATTGAAAATTCGTCCTCTTTGAGAAATTGAAGGTTTGTAGAAAATGCAAAATAGCTGGCATTTATTAGCAGCCAATATATCAAAGGCCAGGAGCTGAGGTCAAGTTTTTAAATAAGCAGGGCCTCTATTATAGTACTGTATATGCAGGTACACAGTAGCCAGCAATCCTCCTTTTTCAATAAAAATAAAAAAGATTGATCATTTCTGGTGGAAGTGTCAAAGTATACTTTTTATTAACAAACTTCTCTGATTTTGAAGACATGGAATATAATAAAATTTCATTTTATATTTGCATGCAAAAATGTTCTGATGCTATAGGCATGGAAATTTACAGCAAATTAAAACATTTTCAGTATAAGTATACTGTCAGAATCGACATGATCCTGGCGTGCAGAAAATGCCAGAGACAAAAATTGATTTAAATAAGATAGCCATGTTCCTACAGAGGAAATAATCTAGAGTGAAAGTACGTGGATGGAAATGTTCAGAGAAAATTCATGAGATGAAGAATAGAAGCCAACACGACATTAATAGGCCACAATGACTTTGAAAAATTAATCACATGGAAGTCGATGAATTTCAGTCTACACTTCATAACACTTTGAAGGATAAGATCAGAAGGTAAAGAACCATTATTGTGTCTGAACAATCACTGTATTTATTTTATGCATCGACATTTATATTCATAGGGTTGATTTGGATCATCTGATTCCTGTTGTTCAGTAAGGTAAATATTATTGAATGGGAATACAGAATTACCAGCGAACCAAAATTTCCCACGAATCATAATTTTATAATCGACGGAGTCATGGTGTAAACACGGGATTTTGACCATTTTCAGGACATTTCTTCGCGTTAATTTTCTATGGAAATTGCACGTGTCTTGTATTCAATCGTGATTCTTCGTCAATTGGTTGACAGTCGCATTTAATCTTCTTTTGCAGCTTGTCCGTGGCAGATTTCATCTTCAGCGTGTTCGTGCTGCCTTTGGAGGCATCAAGGTTCATCAACCATGCATGGATTTATTCTGACGACCTTTGCTTCGCCTTCCCGCTCGTCAGATATGTCAATGTTGGAGTATCGCTTCTCAGCATCGCATTCATCACTATCAACCGGTGAGTCATCCGTGTAACCAGAATAAACGTGGTTTCTTCGCGACACACTTACTATATCCATACGTTTTGCCCTTCATTGCATTTTTTTTCTATAAAACCATTGCCCTCGCGGAATGTGTATCGAATGCAAGAAAATCATTGTGTTTTTGTGGGTTGGATTCCCTTTTTTTCGAATGGGTGCTAAAGGGAAGCCAGGCGTTGTGCTCGAGGGTTTCTTTGACTGCTGTCTGGGAATTTGGGTCATAAACGCTGCGTGTTGTATACAGAGAGAGAAAAGATGAATGTGAGCATTGCGCTGGATCGGGACCCAGAAAAGACCATTGTCAGGTCCAGCAGTCGTTCCGTCTTTTTTTTGTTTTTTGTGCCCTGCAGGAAACACGAAACGGAAGATAGACATAAACTAGGTCTTTATAGAAAACTCTTTCTTTCTTTTTTATAGGGAAAAGGTCACAGAATTCGATGCATAAGGTCGGGTGTAAGGCCGCGGCAATTCGATCCGTCATAAAAAAGAAGTTATTGCTGTACGCGAAGGTCGCCTGTAATGAGAAGCCTGTTATGAGGAACATCAGGTTTTAGGAAAAAAGGACCGTGTAACCTCATTTATCCGGGCTTCCATTAATATGAAATTTGATTACCCTTACCCTACTTCGAGAAGAGTCAAGGCGGCCTGCTTCAGTTTAATATGAGCCGCCTCATTTCCCGCAGTTAATTTAGATAATTCCCGATAATTAAGCTAGAAATCCATGTAAATAAAGATCAACCTGACAAGCTAAAATAAAATCCCAACTTTTAAGAAATAAAGCCTCTCGGAAAAATTCAGAGCGCAAAACTTTGCAAGCAGCATAATTTTTTTCAAGTGTATCTTAGGAAAATGCCAACCTTTTCCAATATTCATGCGAATCATGCAATCGAAAAATTCGCTCAAATTTCTCGATTTTAGCAGCATCATGTCAGGTCAACGTTGCATGATTTGTTTTATACATACTCTTTTTATTTTTATTTTCTGCCATGTTTCTTAACGGGGGAATGCGCCCACATAGTAGAATGAATTATCCAAGTTGCGTGTATTTCCGGATTCCACTGAATACCATGTACAGTATAGGAATATATCATGAGCATCGCAGTCATTTTCACGAAAAATTCTAAACTCTTCGAATTGGGTATCCTTGCTTTTAGCGTGTGCATTCATCTTAGCGTGTTTGTTTTTTACATTCATGGACAATTGACGGTGTCTCTGTATGACTTTGACATACAGCATCTTAGGAGTATTTTCGACGTTTCGGTTATCGAAAATATGAACAAATCGCGACGAGCCTCTCGAAAAATGATCTGCTGTCTCATGATGAATGGTCCCTTATTTTCCATTTGCCGGGGTCATTTCCGGTGTATTGGTTTTATGGCTTTCTGTGTGTAGAATTAGAATGCACTTCTGAAATTTGCTTGAAATCATATGAGCATATCATTTATTTTTGTGTCGCTGTTCCACACAGAAAGCAACTATCCCGCGCTCAGAAGAGCGAGGAAAAAAATCATTAATCGTGTTCGAACTGCGGAATAGCCCGAAATATGCTTCATCATAAGAAGCTTTCATCCAAAAAGTATGTTCGCATATTTTCTGTCACTTTGCATGATGATAATACGGTAGATTTCCAGCTTGGGGAAATACCGGTAAAGATGAATACATGTTACTTGATACAATTCAGATAATCGGGGGTATCAACAACTCAACACTTCTCACCCACCTGTAATCATTGAAGGCTTCGTGGCTGCTCCAGTGATAATAGAAATGAAGAAAAGGTAAAATAATTTTCCATCAAGAATTAAAGACTCGAACGTCCCTAAGTCCGAGTTAAAAAAAAATTATAAAAATATGGAATTTCTATTTTTGAGAAATCATTTTTAATTTACAACGCCGGGTGAGAAAAACGGGAACCCGAGGAAGAAATTAACTTTTTTCAAGGGCTCTACCATGTGACGTAAGAAGCGTTCCTTGGGTCAAAAATATTGATGAACTCTTCATGCAAATTTTATCAACCTGTGCTCCAGAAAATCTTGAAGGTACCTCTGGGACTTCCCAGGGGCTCCGCAGGTGTTTCAAGAAATGTATTCATAACCAAATTCAACATCAATGAATAAGATCCAGAATCAAGTTACGAGGACAATTATCTTCTCAATTCAAGGTTAGAACAGGAAGGCTTGATGCTTTTTTTATCCCGAAGATATTATTTACGAGGTAGAGCAAGCACAGGCAGCATAGAATGTCATTTTTTCAAGTACCCAGCACAGACATTGATCGTCGAACGATTGATAAAAATCTGGTCTTGTGTAACCTGCCCAGTGTCAGAAGCATGCACTTTGATTCGTTTCAACCAATGTTCCCGGAGTGAGCTCCAATTAATGTTCGGAAAAGAAACACCATGTCAGATGCCACAAACCGCCCACGTGTCTCGTTTAGCCGGAAAAGGACCACGAATCACGACTGCTTTGTCAATAACCAACGCTTTCCTTCGGGAAAAGGAACCGGGTCATGCGTCGGCGAACGAATCACGAAAAATGTCGCATGCCCTTCAGACAACATGCATGTACGAGAATGCATTAATTGGGCTTCCTCGACGACCTCTCTGGCCTGTTTCCGTCCATTGCACCTGCATGTTTTTTTGCGCTTTTCCTCACGAACATCGCTGATGATAATTTCATACCCATAAGGGAGCGCTATTAGAGCCGTGAGAATAACAGGCCGTGATGGAAAACTTTCTGGGTATGAGTCTCATACACGAGTTCCTCTCGCGTCTCGCTTGCTTGCTTGCTTGCATTCTTCAGGAAAACGTATGTGCCTTTATAACCCAATTTCGGATCAAAGCTAGGGTTTCATCACTTGCACGCCTCCAAAAAAAAAAAAAAATTCTTGGCAGCATGCTTGAGAAGAAACAAAAGATCATGTGGAATGCGATGCAGCTATTCATATCCGAGGCGAGTCGAGACACGATTTGCGGAGTGTATTCGAACAAGACGCGTGTATCTTGAAAATAAAAGAGGAAAATTCGTCGAGCGGGACAATGCTTGTTAGTGTCTTGGTTCGAGGTGATCGACCGACACATTTTTCCATCTTCAAAAACGAAGTATAGTTCTTTCTAAGAGAGAGAAATAGACGAAGGGGTCAGTTGCGAACGCTGATGTCCTGCGTACAACACAGCGAGATTTTGCCTTCAACTGCGTGAGAAAAAGTCATGTAAATTTTCCTGTAATGCGACCAAACACTTTTGAGCCACTCAGAAATCCTCAGTTGTCAAAAAAAATATTCGGAGAATTTCTGGGAACTGTCTGAAAACCCCCGAAGACGCTTTGAGAAATTAATGTCAATTTCGCATTGGCCAGACAGCAATTGATTGAGATGAATTACAATTCTTAACTAGTCGTCGAATGATGAGAGATTTCGAGCAACGCAGCAAAATTTTCAATTCTAAACCAATAATCGTTTCTTGAATAAACAGTGATAAAAAATGACTGTGTGAAAGACTAAATAAAAGTTGGTTATTATCATGTCGTATGTTGGGGAATCTTCAAATAAATGTATGCTAACATATTTTTCATTCACCTAATTTGATAAGGATGGATGATTCAGAATTCCACCCAGTTTCTGAGATTTTTAACCCTATTCTTGACTTCCATACAACTTGACACGATGTGCGTATGCACAAATATCTATTTATATGTTTTCGTATTTACATGATAATAAATTTTTAACAGCATTACCACGTAATCAGAATTTTACGGAATCTGAAATGCACAAGATGCATCATTCATGGAAGTTTAATTTACTGGGCAATTTTCTGAGTTCCACAGTTTTTTGTGAGGCAAAACTAGAAAAAACTGTTATGCACTCAACCAATATTTCTTGAACTTTCTCTAAAAGAAATCATGTTCCCCTACAAAAAGCAGTTTTTCAGAGATCTAGGCTACCATCAAGTCTAAAAAAAGGCTTTACACTATTGTGCTATTTTACGTACCTCATCGATGAACATGAATGTATATGGTGGTAGAATAAACCAGCCAGCTTATCTTTCAAGTGGGAAAGGCCCATGCAGAATATATTCTTCGAAGGGCTCAATGCTGGTCGTTTTTCTGCAGTCTCATTCCGATTTCAGCATACATATAGCCTTGCAATTTTCAAAATGTCGGCGAGGGAAAAATAGAGTGAGAGCATTCACGAAACCGCTGGTGTCATAAAAGCTTTTATCGCGACTGCTCGACGTATTCGAATCGAGAATTTCTCACATTTACTATAAGGTATCCTGTCAGTACAATGAATTAAATGATAAAAAAAAAAGTGTGGGGGCGTCTGGAAAACGTTGTTCAAAAAATTCTAGGCTAGAAGGAAAAATTCAGGCCCATCTGTCAGACTTGTCTGGTTTTATTTTCTTCCCGCTAATATTCCGCTTTCCAGGTTGCTTTTTTCTCCCGGACTGGAGTAATTGACATGAATTGCAGCCCCTTTTGCATTTTTTTCATTTTTGTATAACAGGCAAGTGAACTGTTCAGGTTGTTCTAAAATCGCATTCACGCAATTATCCATGAGTGGGACTCCGCAAAATTTGGTCTGGTAATTGCTTTCTCTCCGCGACGGACCACGATTAACTTATGCATTCGTTTCTTGGAGCATCGTAATTCTTTCATGAGATGCTCTTTCCCTGTTTCGTGTCCGTAATGCAATCTACATGCAGCACTCCGGGATCACAAAGAATGTCGTCGATGTAATATACAGCATTTGCATATTTTTTTTTACGAGCAGTTGCGTGTATTTTTACTGCCACGTTAAAGAGAAAACTGTTCCTGCTGACCGTAGAGTAAATCTTGTTTGTTTCGAGTGCCTATTCTGACTGAATCCGTTTCCGTTCTTTGATAATGCAGCATCGATATTGCATTAGCAGTCGTTTCCCGATTTTTATCAATTTCGCTGATGAATATTTATTGGCTTGCCTTTGAGTGCAGCGATGCTTTCATTGGCCTGAAAAGAACTTGGGAATGTGATAGAATATGCTTGAGTGGACAAGGGATTCGACTTCAGGGAGTTAAGTCTTAGATGGATGCAGCTTCTTTCCAGAAATCAAATAAATTTAAAAACTGCTTTGTTCTTTGCGAAGAACCCACCTAATCAAATAAACATATTGTATTATCAATATACAGCCAAAAAATCTAAAAATCAAGTCTATTTCAAAAAATACATTCTACGGAAGAGGTCCTGCGATTCATTAATTTTACGTGATCAGCTTCTCGTATCAGTCCGTGTGTTGCGTTGTAATTTTCAATTTGAAGTTTTTTTTAGGAATTTAGTTTTTTTTAAGCTTCTCTTCCATTAGTGCATGCTCTTAAACGTCTGAAGGCCTGCATTAAAAGTAAAAGGGCAGTCCCGTGTGATGTCCTTCGACCTCGCATTATTCGAATTAATGTGATTGTGCATGCGTTTTATCTTTACAGAGTACAGTATTTCAATGTTAAATCTCGAATTAATGATTCTCTGGTCCTATTTTTGGCCTCACGGGCTGTAAAAGAGAGACGTTAGAGCAGAAAGTTCATCACATATTCTTGAGATACATGGTTTTACATACTAAAATTACAGTACATGACTTTCGTGTGGTCAAAATGCTTCTGAACATTTCAAACTGAAGGAAATTTTTTTTCGGAATAATGACTCGCGTCATAAATCCATGTGATAATGATACTGTTCACGTTTTTTCCCTAGAAAATCTTTTAGTAAGGATCCTAGAATCAAAAAATTCCAGAAAATTTCAACGAGTTGATGGTAAATTCACTTTCTAAGGGCAGAAAACGAAAATAATAATTGACAAATAAAAAATTTTGATTCAATTCCTGGTATTTATTTCAAAATGGCTTGCATGATTCCGCGTAAAATATAACAACAAAATTAAGCATTACGCCAGTTGACGGTTTCAACAGTTTAAAAAATTCATGACAGGCAGTTGAAACGACATTGAGCATAAACTGAAGTTGACTGAAAATGTTGTACTGTATTCAAATTCTAAATTTTGTGTTGCACTATCCGGAGTCAATCGCAAAACGTATGAACCAAGTGAAAGTGGACAAACATGCAGTAAATCCTGACAATTTGTTCCATGAGGGAAAAATGGGCAAAAGACCTCCAGGAAATCGTGGAGATTTTCCAAGAGGAGAAAAAAGCTGGGAAGGAGATCTTTGAAGTGCAACCGGATAAGTCACGTAGGATCCCCGTCAAATCCGGTTCTGACGTTTCGAACTGATTTCCTTTGAAATCTGATGATTCGAACCGACACGAGAACCCCCCGAAGGAACCCCCGATGGAATTCCTTCCCCGCGGAAGGGAAAAGGGTTCGATCATGGAAATTCAAGGAAGGCTCGAAGGAACCAGCCGAGTTAACTGTTCCATAATCTCGTTTTCTAGCCCCTTCAATGCAATCTTTGCCGTTGAAGACGCATACGAGTCCCTCGTCTCGATGCTTCGAGTTTTTGGTACCTGTAACTTTAGAATAATTACGAAAATCCCAGCCACTTTCTCTGCTTTTCCCACTCTAGAAAAGGAGAAATTCCCCCTGTTTCTATGTGACGTTATACCACAAAATTCAGTTGAAGCTCTTATGTAACCATAGATGAAGGTTGTGGTGACATCAAACATACTCGAAACTTTTCAAGTTCAGTGAGGCGGACCCAAGAAGAAGCACCTTGAAGAAAATTCAATTTCTTCTTTGTCTGGGAAATACCCTAAAGCTATATTAGGTGTGATATGAGAAGAGGGGATAAGCTGCACAGAAGTGAGGACGATAATCAATGATTAGTAAAAATTACTAAATTATTTCATGTAAGTCAATGAAGAAATCCCCCGAGAAACTACAGAAAACCAGAAAGCATGAGCATTATAAGAACTAATCTTTTTACGTCTGGTTGATTAGACAGGAAGGTCTGGTTGTCCTCACAAAATTTTAATTATCCTTTAACCACATCAACTGTAAAATTCGGTTGTAAAATGCCGTTATGGAGAATTTTTCAAAAATTCCAAGTAGAAATGGTCTAGATTCAGAGCTTCAACATCTCAATAAATAGAACTAAACAAAAACTGAAAATTGTCCCTTATGACCGAGTAAAATTTACTAGAATATTTCGAAAGTGGAAACATTTGTTCGCCTGTGATGAATGCACAAGTCTGCATTTTCAAGCTTTTTTATGTGACTGAAATGTGGTGATATCTGGAAGAGAAGAGACATTTATGCTTTTTTTGTCCACTCATGCATCTTCTGATTACAATTTCCAAACTGCAACAAGCATGAAAAAATGCCCATTTCATGAAAAATAATATTAAAAGCCTCTTCTGAACCAGCTATAAAAATATAACAGGTAAGTTCAGTTTTAAAAATCCCACAGCTCTAAATTGGAGAAATTTTAAGCTTTTTTCGGCAGAAGGTGTTCGCAAGAAGCAATTTCTAACAGCAATGCATCTTAAACCTGTATGTAAGTGGCCTATGAGTGCTGACATGGGGAGCAGATGATCATTTCAAGTTCCTCGCAACCCTGAACCCCGCATTGGGAAAAAAGGTCTCGGACATTCGGGCGAGAACACGTTTAACCACCAAGGCGTTAACCCAAATAGAAAGTCCCTCGGATTTAAGCAAGGCATCGATTCCCATAAAAGGCGAACGGGCTCTTTGGGGGGCTCGTTGAGAATGAATAGGCGCTTTTACGCATTACAAGGCGAAAAGTACCAAAGGGCACAAAGAAGGAAGTCTATGTAGTACTAGCCACACAGCCACTCGTACGAGCGGATCTACACCAAGTGCAACATTGTCCTCACTATCGCATTCATCTGGCTCTTCTCCGTTTCTATGAACCTACCGACGATCCTCGGAGTCTGGGGTGAGTAGCTGGAAACGCTTCCTATACGTAGGAACAAAGTTTGCTCCTAATTTCCGTGTTCCCTTTCGCGAGATTTCACTTCTCGGAATTTTCGCAGCAGTTTCCATGGTTCAACTTCGGAAGCTCGATGGAATTTCGCGTGGGAAACCCGCGGGTGATCTTCGGTTCCTCGTTTTTCACGCGAGCGAGGAAAAACTCGGCGGAAGTCTTCGTTTCGATGTTCATTCATCTTCTGATAATCCGAAAATAATGCGGATTATGTCACAATTTGTGAAATTGAGTTGGTGGAAGCCATGGATCCATTTAATATCAAAAGCATTTCCTTGTTTTCTTTCACGTTGGTAATAGGCCTGACTCAGGGTTTCCGGTTTTCCCACACATTTCCCTGCAAGATGAGATATTGCGGGCAAATATTAAATCTCCCTCTTTACAGTAATATTTCTTGTAAGAAAATAAATCTCCCGCAACCAGTTGGAGGTTATTGTCAAAAAAGAGTTCTGTAAAAAGGAAGTTTTATATGGGAAATTCTATACTTCTAACGTAATCACCTACGCATCTTTTTGAAAAATCTTTACACACACTGAATCTTGATTCCTTCTTTTGAAAAATGTTCTTTAGTTCTGAGTTTTATTTTGTGGAAGACATTCTAGAAGGATGAGTACTGTACCCTTGAATCCCTTTGGGACCTTTTGATTCACTGTACTGTATAAGCCCTGAGCTAATATCGTCCAGTTGTGATTTGAAGATAAAAACTTCAAAGGAGGCAAAATATTTTGAATTGTTGACGGTCTAGGCTTCACAGAGCCAAAATGTAATCATTTTCCCGATTTTTTTCGTCGATCTAATGTACTCTGGAGTGTTTTCTGCACTTCTGAGAATGTATTGTGAGCTGTACTCGAAGATCTAGAGCGATTTCACCGAAAAACGGTTTTTTGCGACTTATTCTGGGATATTTTTGGCCGCATATTACTGGAGACGAGGGATTATTTTCGGGAACACGGTATTTTGGTACATAGTACAGTATCCGCGTCGTTGAGAAAGCATGAGCATATTTCAATGAGCTCCGAGGGTTTTTGGTTTTTTATTTCGCTTTCCAGTGACCTTGAACTTGACAATTTGATAAAACGAGCTTCTCAGGAAGCCCTGCTTGTGTGCCGCTCAACAACCGGGAAGATGTCAGATGGTTCCTCGGAAAAATACTCGGTAGATGCGCTCCCGGTGCCAAGAGATACGCGTCACCATCTAAAAAAAAAAGAGACTCGGTACACCTCGTCTGGAAATAGTACTGACAACAACTTAGGAGTATATCCACGTTTTCTGGAGCCGTTTTTGTTTTTCGGAGAAACTGCCGATTAGAGCGTCATCGCTGTTTTTTACCCCGAAAATCAAATTCGTCGCGGACTTTAATACAACGACGACGTCTGAGGCTACGGTTGCCATCATGGCCACCAGTAATTAAAGTCGTTATCACAAGTAACAAACTTCTCGATTTTTTTTCAAAATATTTTCTACATCGTGGAAGCGTACGAAATTTTTCAAAAATGAAACGGACAAAACTGAAGGAAGTGGCACTCCCCACTTGGCCATCTAAACTTCTTATTTTTATAGCAATTTTTGGGAAATCTCAATTCCTTGATGTGATTTTGGAGACAAAACGGGAGTCAAAATCGAATGCAGCTCCTTTTTCCGTTTTTCCCAACGTTTGTGAGCTTTATTTTTTTCATAATAATGTACTGTATCTCATTTTATTATCCCGGAATTCAAATATTCCGAAATTCAGAGGCTTTTTGGGCGTTTTTGATGGCAATTAGTATTTTGGTGCATGATGCCTGGAATTCAAGCCTTCTGGCAAGCATATTTTTGATATTGGAACAAAGCTTTCTAGAAAATAGAAAAATGATGAAAGAATAGAAGGCTTCTGCTGGTCGTTGTCCGAGACCGGGATTTTTCGCGGGACATCCCAGCTGGTGTTTTAATTGCCCTAAAATAAATATCTATCGTGTTTTAAGTTGATCATCGACTATGGTGCTTGTCATCATTTAAAATCAATGGAAGGATACATTTTGGGGCGATAATCGCTGAAGTATGAAACATTTGGAAATGGTATACGAAGTATATACTTCTATGCCCTGCGCCCAATCCACGGATAAATCACCGAAGCTCTTTGAAGCCACCACGCACGGGAGACCCTGTTAAGAAATTCTCTTTGATGATTTACCAAAGAGCTAATTAAAGAACGCTAGTCAATCTTTAAAATGTCAGGAATCACGAAATGTTGAAAGCTTTGTTCTATTTTTGATGGCTTCAACTGATTGCCCAGTCGATTTTTGCGCTGATGCTGCTGTTTCTCCTATAAAAGCTCAGCCCAACGTGATCGCTTCAAGATTCAAGCTCCGAAAGCTTGCGTTTTTTTAGCCAACCATGTATTATGTGATAATAATCCGTCAGAATCGTGAAATTTTTTTTGGGGTTCTCAGATGACTAAAGTCTCGTTGCCACCACAGTGGCATGTTTCTGTCACCGTGCCGCTAACAATAACTCGAAGCCTTTTTATTTAATTTTCTCTCACCGACGCTGTTGTTAGAGGCGAGAGAAACGAACGGATAGATAATTGACGTCTCATGCTTCGCTGTGACGAGGATTAGATCACGAAGGCGGTTTTATTTTTCCTATTTTTTTCTCATTTCTTCGCCGAAATAGGGGTAACCTCAGGCATTAAGCAAGTCGTCCGGAATCCCAACGCCAGAAAAGTAGGGGGTTGCTAAGTGAAGGCAACAGCCAGGCAGCTTGGGTCTGCTGGACCCTAAGCGTCAGGATGTCTTCTTGCCTATGCAGGAGTAAACGGTGTCTGATCTTCAAAGCGCTGTCTTCTGCGTGGCATTGACCGACGCCTTGGGGGCTTCACATGAAGCTTCCCGAGAACCGCAGACTCACGCCCACGCCTCTATTTATTGAGGAATGCTTCTTTTAGCTGATTGAAATCATTCAATATTTAGTGAAGATCTAAAAATATCCTTCCAATTCTTAATTGTGCTTCAGTGATTTTCGCAGCGTGAATAAATAAAGAAATGTTCTTACGAACAAGTCTTGGAGCAGTTCTCTGGGGCAAAAGGTCTGTTAACCATCAAATTCACTCGAAGACTATGAGAAGTCTCACTGAGTAATTTATAAAGAAAAAGAACAGCTAAGAAATTCGAGGACAGAAACGCCTTGGAGACATTCGAGATCTTTTTTATTTTTATCAGAAAATAAGACAAACTTATTTGCGCGGATAACTAAATATTCTACCATCAAACGAGGCCATCCTTTTTTCTGAATAATATACTTCATTATGTTATGATATGCTTTTCCTGCGGAACACAGACGGCCTTTACTTGGGATGATCGAATTTACGACAGTTGATTGATTCGCAAATGTTCTCAAAAAATATTTTTTAATCAATGTGCGTCCAACTGTCCAATAAGTCTTCTATCTAATGGAACCCGGATTTGATGGCGCCTTAGATTGGCAGGAGATAGTCGTGATTGCTTCTGACCCACCATAATTACGATTAAAATCGTCTAAAATAGATGGACAACCATTTTCGGTTCAATTCAAAGGTAGGGATTTGGTTTGAAGTGTTCGATGAGATTAGGCTGGCAACAGAAGCATCAACCACAAGCTCATTTGGTTCTGAAGAAATTCTTTGTGCTGAAAATTGCGTCTTGTAATTTTTCCGCAAAATTGCTTTCATCTCTGGGGCACAAAAAAACCATGCATCGCCTTACCATCCATGGTTGCGTAAATACGGCAAATCCTTGAATTAATATGTGGATCGAAACACGTTCGATATGATCTGAAATCACCAGGCGGAACTAGAACAAATACAGACGATCGTCGCACAAAATATTTGATCGAACGATCAAAAGCATACCTTTTTTAAATTTCTCAGACGTTATGGGTTCGGAGAATCGTGTGGGAGTTCAAGTAGAGGGCCCTTAGCTTCGGATCACCCATATATAGGATTTTCAGTACCACAGCATGGTTTCTCCGACGGGCATGTTTGCAGGACTAGGACATAGAACATTCCCCGGGGACTCACGTCTGGCCCAAGAGCACTGTACCCGTGGGATGTTTGCTGATGAATGGGGCTCTTAATTGGATTCATTTTCCTTGATTACCCAGACGCCGCATCGCTCACTGCCGGCATTGCGAGCGTACTCCGTGTTATACGAGGTGGCAATGTGAGGAACGTCTGTTCGCTGGAATAATCAGAAACGCCGTGTTTATGTGATTCTGAGACGCGAATTTCTCGAATTTGTGTCGCTGCAAAATCTGGGTGCGTCTAGGATTGCATGCAAAATGTTGCTTTATAGTGTGGTCGGGTAATTTACGGATTCATTTAAATTATTGAAAATCTCGTTCAGTTTCGAGTACTGTACCATCTTCATCCCTCAGAGCATTTCTTCAAGCGTGATCGGAACTAAGTACGGAAAACTGATGATTTTATTTGAAGCTTGAGAAAGAATCGTGCAACGGTTGTCCGAGATTGAGCTCTTTTTACTGCAGCTTTCCGAGATGTTAAATCATCATGAAATTTCAACCCATGGGAGGAAATCCACCAATTTAAAGCATGATAGGAATCAAGTACAGATTATTGACAATTCAAAACTGTTTTCCGAGGAAAAGTACGGCAAAGTTATCGTAGGAGAGTTTCTTGATATTTGGTGCTCATAACATTGCTTTGAAGACGAATATTTGTGCTTGAAAGGAAAAAAAACTATTTGTTGTTTTCAGTTTATTATTGTAACTAATTTTGCTTTAGGAGCTATGTTGACATGCAAAATATTTTCGCTTTATCCTGAAAAATACGGTTTCTAGAAAATTCTTCAGCTTCTAGAAATTCATCTCAGATTTGCCTGCGAATTAATGCTTTATTTTTGATACAGAGAGGAAAAATCAGGGAGCGTTTTAAAATGTATGTCGTACTAAAGCAAATTGCGTAAATGGTGAGTGTTTTTTTTTGGGTTTCGATCAAACGTTAAAAATAATAATAATTTGTAAACAGAAGCTGAATCTTTACCCGTCGTATCTCTTCCTGTCTGAAATATTTTTTGTCGACTTTGAACAGACGTCGGAAAGAGGCTATTTTAAGAAATGTTAAATTCGGTGGAAAACGAATTCCAAATCAGGAAAACCCTTCTGACATGTTTCCGTTGTTTCTGGCCAAAATGTACATCAAACTTACCACCGCATGCAAGAGGTCCGACAAGAAAAAAAATACTTGCTATGTCCGTAGAAACAAAATACTCGTTTCGGATTCTTGGCGAGAACCTCACAGTTATTTCCTACGTAGTTTTGCTGCTTTTAAATCACCCTGTACGGTGTGTGTGCCCAGTTCGTTAAACCATGAAAGATGCGAGACGTGTTTCGTGTTATTCGGCAGGCTGCAAACTCCGCTGCTGTGTTTGAAAGTCCCTCTGTTTCTCTCGAATGCATTTCTGCAAATCAATTTTTGGCTCGCATGCTTTCGACGAACCGTTTTCTTGACCTGTGAAAACCTCTGGTGTTTCAGGCCGCTTTGGATACGATCCCACACTCAGAACGTGCACCATCGTCGCTGTAAATGGGAGAACTTCCAAGGAAGCTTTGTTCGTTGTTGGATTCCTGGTTCCGTGTGTCGTGATCGTGTACTGCTACACCAGGATATTCTGGCTCGTACGAAGGTAATAATACCTTTTCAGAACTCTAAAACATGATTCAGTGTGCAGTATTTTTTTTTTCTGGGAGACTATACTATGGTTAGTTCACAAGTTTTGTCGTTCACTATCTGAGCCTTGGTTGAACGAGTTGGGAGTGAGTTGAAAGTAATCTTCATGGATTAATTGCCAATCATTTCCGGATAACTTCTAAATATTTCCTCACCCAGATAGGGTTGAATGCGCATTTCACAATTTTGAGGAATAAGGAATCCTAGTGTCCCATTTCCATGCCAGGACAATCGTTCAAAAACATTTTAAAATAAAGTAAATTTATCGACAACCACGGTTTAAGGGCCGAAACGCCAGTTTTAGTAATTTTTTTTGTGCCGCATGACAAATTTCCTTAAAAATTAAACATGTAAACAAAAATTCGTCAAAGTCATGACTGCATTTTGGAAATGAATATCAAATGAATTCGGGCTTATTTCAGGTATTGTTTTTTATCTGATCGGTGTTTTCGGGAGCTTGCGAATTGTGGGTACCCAAAGAATCTCAATACGAATTACTTACAAAACCTTTGAACCATCTTTCTCATAAATTAGACTAAGCGGAAGATCGAAGGAACCATTGGAAGTCCAAAAATTTATTTAAATGCTTTCATATCTAAAAGTATAACTAATTCAAAGTTTTTCTTTTACGCCTAATGATCCAATATTAAGGCAATCATAAACTGTGTCGTGAACTTTTTCAATTGACCAGATCGATGAGCAGGTCGTGGCACAGTTGGCTATAAAATGTTCCGGCATTTCTCATCCTTAGCAGGTCGTTGACGCCTATACAAAACTTTTACAACTTTCCGTGTAACTTTTTCAGAATTTTTTCTCGGGCCTCGGAAATTATCGACCCGGAAACGCGGTTTAATGTTCCGCGCGAAAGTGTATCAGTGGCTCAATCAAAATTAGAAGCACATTGTCCCAAAAACCAAACTTTAAACTTTCTATGCCATTTCACTGCTCCGACGTTCGCTTTTGATAATATGCCGGCAACTTTTACGAACTTGTGATCATTGATCGTGAAGCTCGTTTTATGCAGTCATGCCACGCGAAAATTGCTGACCGGATTCGAAATCATAAATTTCAGCACCCATCATTCCGGTGGAATTCTCGTTGTTTTCCTCGGAATTCCACCGGCTCAGATTTATTGTCGAATAACGGATGAAATGAGGCACGGGACTGAATTTAAACGATTATTGGTCTCATATTTACTGAAGCAAGAGGTCTATAAATGAGACCGTACGAGCGGAAAAATAATAATTCTGGGAAGAAAAATGCGCTGAGAAAAATGCTGCAGCCAAAAAAAATTAATCGAGAGATTTTTTCATGATGTTCTGTTTGTTCATTTCAATATTCCTTGTATTTTTTACTAGGTCCATGTAGCCTTTGTAATATTTGAATTGTCATGAAATGTCACTGACTGACAAAATTGTTTTGCTGTTTTATGCGAGTTATGACAGTACCTGGGTTTCCAATTTTTTCTCTTTTCTCTTGCCTACGTGAGTCCATCCCTCTACTTTCTCTGCCAAAAACAGGATGCAGATCTTCTGAATAATCGCATAAAATATGTATTGTTTCCTTGTATTCAATAAGAGGAACCTTTTTCACGTAGAAATTTTTTCACGGCTGTATAGGATCTTCTTCTGAACTCGACTCAAAGTTGGCAATATCTTTTTTTTAATTGTTCTTTATACTGGATTTTCACTACCACTTTCAAGAGCCTAGGGGAACACAGAAGTCCTGCTACTCCACAGGAAAATATTTTTCCTGGAATATCTATTCAGACGGGCTTCGTTTCTGACATTTGAATAGAATCCACATCAAAATTACTGTACATTACTGAGCACTTAATTCTCATGCTTTCGTTGATCACATTTTACCCAGCAATAATTTAAACTCATCCTGCGGCTTAAAACGTAGTTCTTCTTTCGAATATGACTGCTTAAAATTTGAAATCCCGTTCTTAAACGTATTTGTCAAAATCACGCAAATTTAAGATATCTTTTTATCCGTCCCGGTTTTTTTTCTTTCGCTCGTCGCTTCGGGGAATTTTTAGCAGATCGGAAGTGAGCTTGCGATCAAACAGATCCCTGCGACTTCAAGAGAAGCCGGGTCGGAAAGAAGACGAAGTGCTGCAGGCAAAACCCAAGCCGAACCCGGCGTCCAAGCCTCCGGAAGAGGAGCAAAGACTAGGTCCGTCCACTAGCCGGATGCCGGAAGAGAACCCCAACAACAAGCGGGATTCGGGTGCCAAAGACGACGGGTTGCGGCAGCTGCCGAAGCAGCGGGCCCGAATGCGCAAAAAGTCCGAGTCGGCTCGCGAAAGCCGACGACTCAAGACCAACGAATGGCGCATCACCAAGATGGTGCTTGCCATTTTTTTGGCTTACGTGTTGTGCTATCTGCCAATCACGATCGTCAAAGTCTTGGACCCGAGGGTGCACTTTCCGGGTGAGTCACATCGACGCTTACATATACTGCATGTGAGTTCCAAAATAAGCTGGGAAACCAGCTTTCCTGGTACCGCAGGAATATTTGATGCATTTATAACCAATCGCCAAGATTTAAATTCATTTGGGTGAATCCATGAGCTTTGTTAGCCCTAAAGCAATAAGCCTTCGTTCAATTGTTCGATTGGTGACACAGTATTAAAACTTTTAGCCGGAAAATAGTTCTTTAAAATAATTAGGGTGTTGGAGCTGATTTGTCAAGCCTTGCTACCTTGAACACCTTTATGGGCATAAACACTTTTTATTCCTATTATGGCGGTTTTGAAAACTTTTGAATATTTTCGCGAGCAAACTCGGTGCTTAGAAGGTTTTAAACTATAACCTTGTACTGAAACCTATTTTTTCAATACCTGATTTGAGGTCAATGTGGGTTTCAGCAAAAATTTAATCGGAAAGAGTGCAGTGATCACACTGAGTTTCAATTTTCTTGACTTTAGGGAACATTGTTGACCAATTACAGTAAGTTCCACTGGAATTGGATGAACTAGAGACTAATGTCAGCTTCTGATCATTCATTTGCATTACATTTTTGGTTTCGGTACACTAATTAAAATTTCCCTCTTACGGAATTACGTGCATTATTTGGAAAAAAAAACATTATCTGAGACCTGTGATTCTTGGGAAAATATGATAATGTATTTCATGCTGGAGAGCTGTCATACGAACAAAGAACCAGAATCCCGACATAAGGTTCTATACGTGAAAATGCATACTGTATTAATTTCGTTGATTTAATTAGGAATATTTGACCTTACCTTGCATCTTTGCAAGAAAATGTCACTCTATCTCGTTTAAAAAGGAGTATAAATTCAAGCTTCACAATATAGCTTCCATCAATGTGTAGAGGGAACGGGTGCTCAGCTTTAAGCATAAATATCAAAAGTACCTGCTACATTTGACGTAATGCATTTACAATGAAGGGCCTTTGTGGCAGAAGCAGCTTTTTCGGGGTATAAAAAATTAAATGCCTCCATCTAGCTGAAAAGAGTACTCTTTTACCGTTTAAGGAGCCTCTGAGGATTTGCTGTCATTGCATCTCGCTAAATTGAATGCGCTTCGCCAGAAAATGTCGCCCGGTTGGAACTGGTGACACTAAGAATATTCTGTGAACCAAAGGCAACATCTTTAAAAGGGAGAGAGAGAGATGATTGGAAAATATTCAGGTACATTGCAGAAGGGAAAAAAATATTGAAAAATAAGATTCCGAGGGCACAAGTTCTGCTCTGCGTAAGATTACGGCTTTCTTACATGCAACTCCGCCGCATATTTCAGGTTCTCGCCAGGAAAATTCCATCGAGCCCTTTTAATATTTAGAAAGCGTATGCATTCAATCATAATCTCGCAGACGAAGATTATTTTTTAAGCCTAATTATTCATGCAAATTTCGGCGTTGACTAAATCTGAATAAGGCTGACCCGGCTTGATTTCCATGCCGTTCAAAACCCACTCCAGATGTTCTCAGAAAAGATGTCGCACAAGAAGGAAATTCAATGTCTGGGAATGATTACCGAAACCTGAGCCACTTCTGTATAACGCGGAAGATGTTGAACGTCTACTTGCTCATATTTTGAGCCTGCTTGACATGTAATTTGAATCCTCTTCTCATCTCTGAAGCTCGTACTTCAGCATTTTCCCAGCTGTTCGTTTTCCCCTTGACGACTTTCAGCGCGTGATATTTTTCTGAGATGTTCAGCAATGATAGCTTGTTCTACATCTCTTCAAAAACGACGAAACATAGATTTTGAACTTGGAGTTCTCGTGCCACTATACTTTATTTGTATCAAAGCTCTTGGAATTCAATGAAGAAGCCTTTCTGAAATCATAGAGGATCAAGAAAAACTGTTGGCGTTATATGATTTCTCATCAAAGATTCTCTCTAAATTTTTGATTCAACTAAATCTCATCTGGAAGACCTTGTGCTTTAAATCTGGTTCAGCAACTGCTGCAATTGCTATAATTCTGGCTTATGCTGGATTTCTTGTTATTGATATTTTGTTATCAATGTCAGGGAAAGAAGGGGGTGTACGCATACGCATCAGTTGTGCACTTGTAGATTGTGGAATGTATTTTCTTTTATTTTGGTATCCATCTGCAGCTTTTTTTCTGTGTTTCCCAATCTGAAGTGATTGAATGTGTTTGAATGGATTTGGGTTGGGTGGAGAGCGGGTTTGGATGTGGGAATGTTGATTGAACTTTGCGAATGCTGAAAAGCAGAAAAAAAAACTTTCTGTCCATGCATTCATTGTTATTACAGTATATTTAGTGAAGTGAGCAAACAGTGGGGGCAAGGAATTCTATGGTAGGTGCTCTAGAAAAAACCTTCCCACAAAGTAAAGAGAAATTTTTTTCGTCAGCATTTTCCCAGCTGTTCGTTTTCCCCTTGACGACTTTCAGCGCGTGATATTTTTCTGAGATGTTCAGCAATGATAGCTTGTTCTACATCTCTTCAAAAACGACGAAACATAGATTTTGAACTTGTAGTTCTTGTGCCACTATACTTTATTTGTATCAAAGAACTTGGAATTCAATGAAGAACCCGTTCTGAAATCATAGAGGATCAAAAAAACTGTTGGCGTTATATGATTTCTCATCAAAGATTCTCTCTAAATTTTTTAGAGAGTTAATTTTTTAAACCTCATCTGGAAGACCTTGTGCTTTAAATCGGGTTCAGCAACTGCTGCAATTGCTATAATTCTGGATTATGCTGGATTTCTTGTTATTGATATTTTGTTATCAATGTTAGGGAAAGAAGGGGGTGTACGCATACGCATCAGTTGTGCACTTGTAGATTGTGGAATGTATTTTCTTTTATTTTGGTATCCATCTGCAGCTTTTTTTCTGTGTTTCCCAATTTGAAGTGATTGAATGTGTTTGAATGGAGTTGGGTTGGGTGGAGAGCGGGTTTGGATGTGGGAATGTTGATTGAACTTTGTACATGCTGAAAAGCAGAAAAAAAAACTTTCTGTCCATGCATTCATTGTTATTACAGTATATTTAGTGAAGTGAGCAAACAGTGGGGGCAAGGAATTCTATGGTAGGTGCTCTAGAAAAAACCTTCCCACAAAGTAAAGAGAAAATTATTTCGAATCAGTTGTACCTACTTGATACCTGAATCCAGCATGAACCTATTGCAAGAATATGTTTTCGGAAACAGTGGTGCCTTCAACATTAGGTTTCGTAGGCCTTAAATTATTTTCATTCGAAAACTTCGCGAGATTTTTTTTCGATTATATTCCTATATGGGTGAGCTAGAAAATTCGGATCCACTTTCCTAATTTTGAAAATACGCAATTTAAGGCTGCCGAGAGGCTGAAATTTGTGGAGAAACCTCGTCTGTTGTTTCCTCCCAATTCTTCAGAACTTTTAGCCACAATCTAACTTATTTGTTATGTCCTTAAAATCGATGACATGTTTTCACATTTATTTTTATCTTCAAAATACATTGTTTCGACCTTGCTTGGCGGGTATTTTTAGCCAACTATTTCGGAAGATGCTAATATCGAGAAAGCACGTCGTGGTCGGTTTTATTTTCATTTGTTTGCTTATCGCCTTGGACTTAATTTCATTTCCAATGTTTTCTTTTTTTGGGAGCCATACAACCAAGACGTCAGATTTGCATTCCGCAATAAGAAACTGACAAAGCATTCAAAATGAAGGTTCGATCTAAGGGAATCTTATTGGAAGCTCGCATAGCGATTTTATCCAGATGATAAAATTTCGAAGGATCTTAGTGCTTTGAATCTCTCCCATCAGCTTTCCCATTCTTCTGCTATTGGAATTTGAAATGAGCCCGTCTTAGTGCGACTCGAGTGAAGATTGACTTTGAACTTCTTTCCAGGGCTGCACATCGTTGGCTACCTGCTTATCTACATGTCAGCCTGTTTGAATCCCATCATCTACGGCGTCATGAACAAGCACTATCGCCAGGCGTACCAAAACGCGATCCTGTGCCAAAAGCAGCTGTGGCTGAAAAGCATCACGTCCACGAATGACTTCAATACGGTCGGGAAATCATCGCCGTCCGCTAATCTCGCCGAGGGCGACGAGCGCATGACGCTGGTCACCACCGCTGGCGCCTCGGTGGTACTCACGCAGCACCGCTCCTCGCCGAAACGCGCCGTGGGTGCGAGGAATGGCACCGCGCTGCCCACAGTGACTGAAGACGCTGTCTGAGCTCATTTGCCGCCGCCAAAGGTTCGTTTCCGATCTGTCTCAACACTTTCAATACTTTTGTCGCATCTTTGAATGCAAGAAATTAGGAATCCTAAGTACCGCAGGGGTTCCTATGTTTAATGCAGTCATTGCTCAAGTTCAAGTGCACAAGATAAATGTCTGGTGCAGGCAGAGTCGACGATTTAGTCTACAACGATTTTTGGTCATGGTTCCATAAGTAACTCTTGTACAATATATACTGTATATATACAGTGTTTTGCTGTATTACTCTGGCAATGGATTATCATTTGGCCTCTAAAGATGGATTTCCAAAATATCACTGAGATTATAAACCTGACTTTGCATAATTTTGGCTTTTCTTTCGATAAATTTTTCCTTTAAAAAAACACACAGCGATCTGATGGATACTTTAGTTCAAGAATGTGTCACTCAGAAGGTTGAAAAAAGATAGATTAATCAGTTTAAAAAGGTCAAATACCGTAATTACTCAAGTACCACACAACCTCGAATAAGACATGCACATGGGTTTTTCAGTCAAATGTTTTTTTTTTATAAAATTGTGTCCCCCATTAATGTGCGCATCCCACTTTTAGTGACTTTAAGGTGGCAATATTACAAAAATAAGAACACCCACATTTAATTTAGACATGAATTGATGGTGAATCATCAAATAATTTTCAATGGTTTACAATACAATAAGTTTTTCTGTTGAAATCGGTCCAAAGTTTCTCAGAATCAAATATGACGCTCACTCCCCTATTCTCTCGATTTTGAGACAAACAAATTTGCGCGTGGTACTTGAGTAAATTAGACTTAAAATGTTTACTGCGCTTTTCTCCTCGAAAGAAGCTGTGGACTTTTCAGGATTCGTGAACTTGAATCCATCGAATACCTTCATGATATATTGTGCCATAAAAAAATGTCGTTACTTTTTCTTTCTTCCAGCCGAACAAGAAAGGGTCGCCAGCGCATTTCGGCATTCGGATTGCCAAACCAAACGACTGTCCGTCAGCTTCTTTTTTTTTTTTTGCATGCGTTTTTTTTTTTCATTTTTTCGCAGCCGGTGACAAAAATGTGTATAGAGAAGCTTACGACGCTGCGTTTCGGCATTCAGCCTGCAGATTCTTGTCTCAGTCGCTTTGGAGAACGGATGGATACATTTGATGGTATCTCGTGTCATGAAGACGCGTTGAAGAGCGCGTTAAGCTTTTGCGGTGCGACATCTCAACTATAATGAATGCCCGAAAATCCCGAACCGATTTCGTCCTTCCGATGAGGTATCGTCTTCATCGCTCGGCATATATAGAACCAGCAGAATTGAGGATCTGCTTGCTGAAGGAGTTCGGTTTCGCCCAGAAAAAAGAAGAGCACTACTCAACCGAGATGTCGTCAAGGATTTCCCGGAATATCCGGATATAGCCGCAGCATTTTACCGAGTTTTTCCATGCGCTCTTCGCTGATTTATGAATGTTTGGATTTGGATTGCATTGTAATCGGTATCAAGGGCTTATCAGCCCATCGTTTAACCGACGTTATGTGATAATAAGTTATTGGCGGATATCCAATACACGCGCTTTGAGAAGAAAAAAAAGTTCGAAGAAATTGTTCCACAGTTCCTGTTCTGCTTCGTATAGGGAATATAAGACGACGTCGTTCTGCTATATAGGAGCCTGTGGAAAATAAACGAGATTATTTCTCGACTCGTTCATGATGTGAATTCTCAATAAATCTGGGATATTGAATTTCTCGTCGACTATGCTCCTTTTTCGAAAATACTTCCCTACAGTATGTCGCACCTGTAAATCATGCATGGTTTTTTATTACTGCGCAGTGGCCATATCTTGAATGAAATTCGAACCAAAAGTGTTTGCACATTGACGAATAACTCAGGAAAATGCAGATTGATAAAATTGTTCGACATAAATTTGACAAAATCTCGCATATAGCTAGACACGAAACCCAAGCATCAATCGCAGTACCTTTCTTTCGCCTTTGTAGTAATCTTGAAAATTATTGCATAGGGGAAATCCAGACACACATGCAACTATTTATTGGAATGATATGATGTAAATCTTACTTTCGACTTTCAACGACGTTAATCCACGCTAAAAACTCCTTCATCACAGCGATGGACATTTTATGATTTCCCCAGTAATTTCTCTACATTATTTATTTCTTCATCATTCGCATTGTCATCATAAATGTCTGTTTCTGGATGGCGACATTACGTCACGATAAGGTATCCCGAAGTTTGACATAAATCCACGGGTATTGTTGTGTCAGAGCTCTTCAATCAGACTTAGTCTTAGTGAGATTAAGGCACACTGTCAGATGGTACATGCGATATTTTTATGATATAAAAATATCGCATAACATGTGCGTATGCGCCCAAGCTTCGAAAGAAGCTAAATGGCTCAATCGTTTTAAAATAGTTTAACGGGGAAGAATTGAATGAAAATGCGTCTGAAACGCGTTAAGCAGCATATTATGTTGAGTGGAACTTGTAAAAATGAACTGCAGTAGTAGGTCTTTTAAGTGAGCTAAAAGCATCAGTTATACATGGTGCATGGCATCCAAAATCAAACAATGTTATGTCTTGAAAGTGATACAGGTGGACTCTCACAACCACAATCTTGTCCCGAATTTAATTCTCCCTGCAATTATTTTTTTATGGTTCTTCCAACTTCGTTACAACGATTTTCTCTGCATAAAAAATTGTTTTTGGTCCCATATGGTTATCTCCCCACATTATATGGGGTTCTCTACAGTTAAATTCTCTCCACAAGGAATTTTCTAAGGACCCGTAAATTTTGCTGTAGAGAGAGTCCACCTGTATAAGCCAGAAAAAATTAAATATCGTTCTGTTGACAGAAACATTACATAATATTTCTCACTAAGAAACGGAAAGAAATACTTGTTGACGTTTCTTGAAAGCTTCGCCCCAATTGAGAAAGACGTGCTTTATTACGAGCTTCGAAACCGCGGAATGCGGAATGATCTCCATTATACAGTAAATCTCAAGCATAAGACCTGGCAGAAAAAAGGAAAATCGTCGATGAAAGTCACATTCTCCGACAGAGACTGTTTTACCGCACGACGAAAGTGATGCAAAGGAACGCGGCCGAAAGTCTTTGAGTTTTAACAAAATAAAAATTGAAGAATTCAAGCATCCCGGGGCGAGCAGCTCACAATTAAGGTGATCACGTTCGCATTTATGGATTAAAATGCGCAGAAATGAATCTTCCGGCTGATTTTTTTGGGATCGGCGGTCGGGATGAAATCTTGCTATTCGTGATCGCTTCCTCCTCCGCCACTTATGTCTGATCCTCCCTGCGATAAACAACGAATAAATCCACATTTCCGTTAGAAAAATAATAAATGCAGTATAACTCCGATTTTCTGGGCTTCGATCAATCCGTTTCCCTGAACTAGACTTTTTATTCATTCGAACGAAACAAAGCCCCTTATAAGCTGCACGTCTAAATTCCACTCATAAGTGAAATCCTTCGAATGTGACTTTTAAATTTTGGGGGGAATGTCGGAAAGACCAATTCAAGCTATTCTTGATTGTTCATCTGATAATATTGAAAATTGTTCAATATTATTAGATTAATTGTGCAAAAGCAACTGGTCATTATGCCAGATAATCGGAGATCTACTGCACGTATGCACTCTCAACAACAATCGTGGATCACAATATAATTACTTTATATGCATATTAAGTAGAACACAAATTTAACGGAGCCTGCTAAAACATTAGTGCATGAAATTGTATGGAAACTGGTTGATATAGACAAAATCGATACAGAGTCGATGATGTACAAATGGTGCATTGTTGATCAGAAATAGTTTTTAGGAATTTTCTGGAAACACTTTGCAGCATCAAAATGATAAACTTTTTTGGTGCTGAGGCATAAAAACTTCTGTCGAACGACTTCAGAAGCTTTCACGTGACGTAAAAAGATTTTCCTGTTTTTTTACGAGCCAAAATGTCGTGATTGCATGACCGTGAAATTCGTTTGAACTCAAAGAATGATCAGTGCAGGAAAAGAAATTGATTGCTTGTTTCAATAGAAAACCATGAAATGAATTAAAATAACAGGCGTTGTAAAATCATAGAAAGAAACAATCGCTTGCGATGCAGGTAAAATCTCGTCCTCTTACATTCATTCTCTACCGGTTACAATCCCAAAAGATGTGAAAGTTCAAAATACGTCGTCAACTGAGATACTAATAGCAGATTTAATGTTTTCTCGCGAATTTCTATGAGCATCCGCCTGTTTCAAACATACGATACATGTCTCTGATTTTTCGCAGGCACAGAGAAATTATTCAGGCTCTGCTGCCGCTCTTGAAACGCCATTCAGGCTTCAATTTTACGGAGATATTTCTCGATGATGCGAAATTTTACCTGCAACTTAGTGAGAATTCGGAAGATCCTCCACCGTTGAAAAAAAAGAAAAATAATGGAAAATAAAAGAATTTGACGATTACGCTGGACTGACAGCGGACCCAGCCGTTGCAGGTCGAGATCTGGATCGTGATCGAGCGCTTTGCTGTGAAGTCCGTCGCTTGGCACTCTGAACGCGGTTGTTCAAGATCTGTTTCGATCAAAAGCAAAACAGGCCGTGATTAACATCGAGCTACCAAGCAGTGAAAACCGATCATCTAAGTGCCGGACTTTGATTGAAATGTATACAGCATTGGATTCCCTCGGGTTAGCGACGAGAAAACTGCCCGAAAATCATAGGTTTCATAACCCGGGCTTTTTGAAGATGTGGTTCGCGAGCCACTATGGTGGTAAACGAGCGGTTGCTAAATTGTAGATAAATGAGCAAAAATGCAGTCATATTTTTATTTTTAAAAGCGTTGCAAAAACATCCATGAGGTTAGGAATAAAACAGAGGAAAGCGTTCGGGATACTGACTTCGGAAAATAGTTGAAAATCCCATGGGCGTAAAGCTGACAATTAAATCATACCTGGAATGATTTCGAATACAGTAATACTGTATTACGAAATGATATGTCCCTCACAAAATCGGTGGTAAGAAAATATCACTAATGCCTTGTGATCGGTACAGTCCAGAAAAATGTCTTATCATATTACACCCCGGTAGCAATTTTCTAATGATGCCGTCAATGTTCATGATGCTGTTAATATTCTCTTTCAATATAATCTATTGAACAGGAATTTCCATGCTTTTGAACAACACTGTTGCTAGGATGTTCCCCCATTATTTCTGGAGTGGTGGAAAATAGTTGCGCCAACACAACATCGAGTGTTCGTCACCTAGCAAAATAAATATGAATTGTTTGCCGTATCTGGGAAAATCCTTAAGTGATTCATTCACTTCTAATCTTTGAAAAATAGAGGAAAAAGAATCAAGTGCCCCTCGCATCACTTCTTATAGAAGGACTTATTTGTCCGGGAGTTGTCAATATTCTCAGACGCCAGCCACAATAAGTCTTGCTCAGGAAAAGACAGAAAAATTGTCCTTCTCGTTCTCTCTCAGTCGCAAACAGTATTTGCTTTTCAGATGACGCCAGGATTTTTTTTTTCTTTTGGGGTCAGAAGAAAATTCCCACATAAAGCAGGAGATAAAATGCTGTAGTGTGGAAAAAGACCGGTGAAAGGCAGTAATCGAAGAGAACATATTTTTTAGCCCCGCGAAGTTACAGTATTTTTTCATACTGCCCATCAGATAGGTGTTAATTCAAAGCAAGTCCCAACATTAGTGTTATGTAAAATCAATCCTGACTGAGGCATATCAGTAAGGCTTTCTTTTCTCCTGAAAAAGCGTCAAAATCTAGTTAGCTGTATATTGCACTGGTTTCCTAAGGATTCATTTCTCAAAGTAATTTTAACCGTTTTCACACTTCAATTCAATTCTGCATCGCAATAGTTAATCCCGAAGCATTAAAATCCATGTAATTTTCTCATATGTCATAGGTTTTCATAGGTATCGTCTATGAAATTGAACACCAACATTTTCTCGTTAACAATTTTCCCCGGTTTTTTTCGTGGCGTCATTATTGAATATTGCTCATGTTCTTGAATTTCATATTTATCGATTCATAACTGCTCGAAATATCCACAGTTCTTTAAAGTTGACTTCATGTTAAGGAGATCGAGACCAGTTGGAAAGAAACTTTTCGGTTTCCACAGCCGCTCATGAACGTTGAGGACTCCGAGGGGTTGAAACCAGATAAAAACCCGACTTGTCGGGCAATCTTTTCCGCGGATAAACCGAGACCCGTGCCTCGTGCTGACGACGATACCGAATGCTAATTCCGGCTTAAATCTAGCACTACGTGCAAAAAATTCTGCAGTTACGTGCTAGGGATTAATTCCTGAGTACAGTACCTCTTTTCTGCGCCGTTCCGCCTCCGCTTGCTTCTCCTCAATCGTTTCATGCGTGATGCTCACGTTCTGCTGAATGTCTTCCAACTTCGCCAAACGTTTCGGCGGATGTTTCTTCACTATGCTCTCGTTGGCAGGGACTTCAAAGGCCACCGGTTGCCCACCTTTGTGCATGAGTCGAAGGAAGAGTCATTAGAATACAACCCCTCTTTGTATTCCGTCATGTTGAACCCCCCCCCCCTCCACTCCCTCGGATCCCAAAAGAAAATCGACAACGATATGCTAACGATCAGGAAACTGTGCTGACCCGAATCGTCCGGCAAAGGTCAAGTGTAGCGTGGATCGTGAACATTCATATGCTAATAACGCATGTTGCTGTGGGCAACTGTCGATGCAAACATTCTAAACATGAATTAGATGGAAGCTGATTGCCTTGCGACCTTGAATAGTATGCATACATACGTAATACCAGCGAGATATTTCGCAGAAGTGCAACAACGAGGTTAGGATCCTCTGTGGACAGCGCTATCGTATAAACTGCATCGGGAAGTTAAAGCGTAGTCGACCGGAAGGATCTCTGATCTGATCAGCGTTGTCATTTCGTATTCATTTGGGTAATGGAAATAGTATCGGTTTTTCGCCTTCCAAATGGACACACTCGGAAATTGCTCTAGCATGGAAAGATCCAGACCGAACATCAGCGCCTTTCGATATCAACCGTTCTGCGGTTTTGTGTATACAGTAGTGTATTTTGCTTCTCAACTTCGATATTTTTTCATTTAAAAAAATGCACTGTGGTACCGAAAAAATGCAGGGTGTTCCACGGCAAATTTTTGGAATGTCCCTCGCATTGGAAACTTTGATAAAAACGTATATATTTAAGTTTTAGTATACGGAATCCCACCGCTCTGTTAATAAAATTTGCATTTCATGCATTTATTTCCCTGCGCAGGACATTTTTTGAAACCGTCTCATTTGATGGACTTCAGAGACCATCAAATATTTAGGAAACTTTTCGAAACTTAAAAAATATTTTTTCGACGAGTGTCTGCATGATTTGAAGTACGGTATTTGAGGAAACTGTACCAGTGAACGCAGTAGAAGATGACATGGTGACTGACATTTGATAATACATTAGTTTCTTCCAGCATGCCATGAATATAAATTTTTCCCGAGGGAAATGCAGTATTCTGACCTCTTCGGATCACTGCTTTCGCCGACGTTCTTCGTCAAATTATTGCGTAATTTTATTAAAGCCGCCTTTTGATTTTTCAACCCCCCTCAAAAAATGAAATTGATTCATCTTTCTCCACAAGAACTGATCAGTCCCTGTAACAGTGTTTGCTAGTCCCGGCGTCGAAACGCAGGAGGTGAGCTAGACCTCAGGTCGGGAACACAAAAGCTTTATATTCGACACGGGACCCGTGCCGCACCGGTGCGTCGTTCCAATGAGAAATTGACCGTAACCGGGTCGCAGGAAGGTCATTCCCCCTTCTCGGGTTCCCTCGCACAGGGTTACGAATAACTGGCACGACAACGGAAACGCATGGTTGCCTTGGGTCGCATAGAAAAAACTTCCTTTCGGGATCGCGTCCGGTGTTTCTAAAAACTGGAAAAAACCTCTTTCAACACCGGTACATCGGTTCACGGCCTTTCAATGCAGTATTTTGTAGCAGATTTTCTATTGGAATGGATTCAAGCCGTTAACCGAAACACCGAATGGTCTTCGCTGATAACTGTTTTTTTTTTCTGCCGGGATGATTTCAGACCGATCATGGAGCAATGATAGCTTCTATACTAAATTAGGCTATATCGGATTCAATCAAATTTAAAATAATTTTTCCTGCAAAATTTTGCTGAAACAGAGCAACTGGGCACTTACAGGTATAAAGTACAGTGGTGCTCTGTAACAACATCTTTCCATTTTTTTCTAAATACAAATCAAATAAATCTGCAGTCTAAATTCCCAAGTGTATGACAAGTAAAATCAAGAGGCTCTTATAATTCTGTAGAAATTTAATATTATCAAGCTACGTCATATATTCAGAAAGAACTTGATTTTAAGGGCAAAAAGTGGAGTTTATGTTTATGACTCAATACTATTGTAGAGTATTTCAGTAGCAACCTGTTCCCAAAAGACTCAATCAAGTACAGACCATAGCAAAAGCTTATGAAAAACTTTAACAGAGAACCTAAAATTAAGCAGAATTGTCAACCAACCTTCAATATTTTTAATCACGCTCCCGGTCCCATTTGATGAACTAACTTATTCCTTCATCTAACATGTTTGTCGTGGCATTTTTCTCCTGAAAACAAAACCTGAAAATCCTCTGGATTCTGGGCCATAATCCGAGGTGGTGACGATAATGCGAGGCACAAACAGCAGCTATACTTGGTTGTAATGCAAAAATACAATCATCCACGCCAGCCGAGAACTGGGGCACTACAGTACCGATGTGTGTCAGTTAATTGCCTCAATACGTTCCAGCAAGAAGCCCATGATTCAAAAGTTAAATTAGTTGGATAATTTAAACCCATACGACGTGGTCATATATTGTGACATGCCAGACAAAAAGCGGACACAGTATTTGGACGTCAGGCAGAAAAAAAGCCGCCCATAGCACCGTAAGGCAGCTGTTAAATGGCGTACCACTGACTTTCATCGGATTTTTGATGTTCTCTCCATTAGGTTTGATGCGTGTGCTTAAACTTTCTTCTCCTTGGTAAATCTGGGGATGAAAAATTTAATGACACCTAGCCCGTTCTAATGACACATTTTAAAGGACTTTTTAGGCTGACTATGGTCGGGTTCTAGGGCGACTAAAAGCCACTGATGCGAGCAGCAAGGCTGGTAATAATCCCCTTCATGGGACGCCTGAACTATGAATTGAGTGCACATCTTTATCAACATTCCACTTCATGCGAATTCCTGGAAAAATTTTGGTAAGTATTCTGGACAAACTTCGGATCAACATTTTTGATGAAAAAAAATGTGTGCAAGGATATTCTAAATTTACAGAATTAGGGACGAACCTCCGGAATTTCGACCATCTTCCTTATGCTTTTTGATTTTCATGAAGATTTTGATTTTTGATTTTTCTTCCAAATATTTGAAAGATTTTGGAACATCTTTGACATTATGTCCTGAAAATATTATTGGAATCAATCACCGTACAGTGTCAATTTTAATGAAAGCAAAGCAAATGTCTTCTATAATAGGAAGATATTTATCTTCAGGGTAGGGAGCATCCGCTCGAATTTCAATTTTTACTCGTAAATCGTTCGTTAGTGTTCACGGATGATTTATTTTTCTGCTTACAAATGTTTGATTGTTAGAAGAACCTTCCAAATACTGTACTGAACAACTTTCTATCTATAGCCCGTTTAACATGATCTTAGAAAATGAATTCGAGGTGAAAGTACTGCCTCCCAGTCCAATAGGAAGGTTGCTTTCGATTGTGCGACATTCTCCTCATCTTCTTCGCAGCAAGAAAGTTGGTCATACTGTAAAGGACTCCGAGCGTTTTAATTTCAGGAAAAAATTCTGAACATGTGATACAGTTTTTTTGGCATGAAAGGATAATACAATATAAGCACTGGTTCGGTAAAAAAAATTATATGAATTATTCGTGAAAAAAGGAGTACTGGAGAACATTCCATGCAACATGGTTACGAAAAAAAGGTACTGGAGAGTAAGGATCGATAAGTACATCGGTGCATACATCGAACGGATCCAGTGTTAACGATGATTATTTAGTCAAACCCCACGGGGTTACGGGAAACCTCGTCCCACGGGAAAGGACTAGGCAAATGAGCAACTTTTTCAAGAATAACTATGTTTCATGTAAAACCCAGAAAGCCTCGCCGATTCCTTTGAACTATACAAGGGAATATATTTTAATCCGTGCTTTCTGCGGATCCGCATAATAATAACATGTATCTGCTTCTTGGATGGATCAACTTCACTTGGGATACTGAAGAATGATTCGTTCTACAAAGGATATCAGTGTATATGAGTTGTTCAGCAAGAATCAAAGGTTTCCTGCAAGAAACCTCCAATTCATGTTGATGGAATGAGATTCAGAAAAAATCGTTGTGCAGAGAATATTTTGGGTAAAATAACTGAGTCCACCAACATTAGTTCACGCCAATTAAGAGTTAATTTATCATCCGTTATTCTAGACATTTGGTCATAAGTCCGGACAATTAAAGGTCACGCTATATAATTCAGATTTATAAATGTTTAAATTAGGACACCAGCTACTCGTAAGTTTCTGATATTGTGCTGTTTTCATGTGGCCGCCTGAAACATGAAAACACCATGTATACGTAGAGGCACAATTAAATATAATTTCAGTGCAACGCAATGGCGTACAAATTTTTACGAAATTTGAAATAAATAACTATTTAAAGCTACGATTGCATAAATTTCACGAAAGAAAAAGGCATCAAAGTAACTGGGACTTGGAAAAGGAAATTATCGATTTATTCCTGGAAATCTGATGAACACCAAGATACACTCAGGCATTTTTTAGAAATTGAGCTGCAGCATTTTTCTGCATCAGGACATTCAAAGACGAGAATATAACTTTGTAAAAACATTCCTTCCAGTGTTTTTGCATAGTTTTACTTCGGAATGCCAGTTAGTTAAAAGCTTTTCTCGGCATTTGTATTTTCCAATCAAGATTTTCTTGGCATTTTCCATAAAGTTATGTAAAAAGAAATTTATGCCAGATCCGGGGTAAACGAAAGCAGTTGCATTAAATTCCATAGCCTTGCAATAATTCAACGTTGATGACTCTGAAGAACATGATCCTTCAGCAGATGCAGGCAACTTTTTCTGTGGTTTTTTCACTTGAGCTAAAGGCTCAAGGATCTAATTTTTGTTAAGATATGCGATTGATGAAGGGTCTCTAAAAGCAAGTGACTTCGATCATGGCTTTTCAATTGGAGTAATCAGATACCTGATGGGTGTTATATGCAAGATTTTTCTAGCCTACAGTTGTGCCTATTGTATGAGTGAAAAGTTAAGAATCATTTTTAACTAGTAGTTCATTTTAACGTGATGCAGTTTTTGTGAGTGACGTTGTTTTTCCGGGTTCATGCCTCGAACAGGAAAAGGAACGAGGTGGACAACGGAAAAATCAAGGGCTACGCGCCACCTTCACCGGAGT